AAAGTATAATGTCTTGAAGGTTTGTTGTTGAATAATATCCATTGTATAGGCACACCACATTCTCTGTTCATCAACTGATGGATATTAGGGTCTTTTCAATATTTTTTAGTTACAGAATTACAATTGTAGGATTGTATGGTAACTTTGTTGACTTTTTTTTTTTCCTTCATGCTTAGAACTGAATCCAGGACATTCTGGCACTGAGCTCCATCCCCAGCCCATTTTGCCTTTTAAAGAATCACCACACCATGCAACTGTGCCACCTACATTATTCCCACAGCAGTGTGTGAGGTTCTGATTCCTCCATAACCTTTCCAGCACTTGTTTTAGTTTTTCTTTTCAACTCAAAGCTTTTAAAAAATATACGAAAAATAGATAAGACACTTTTCTGAAATTAAAAAGTGGTTTGAGGGCTGACCAGATGGCTCAGCAGACTAAAGTGCCTGCTTAGGCAGACGCAGGGGCCTGGGGTTTGATCCTGAGCCTGCCATGCCAGCCCCACCTCCCGGGCACTCTGAGATGGTGATTGAGACTGGGCATTGTGGCGCATGCCTGTAATCCCAGTGCTTGGGAGGCTGAAAACAGGAGAATCACTACGAACGAGTCTAGTCTACATAGTGAGACCCTGTACACTGTACACCCTGTCCTAAATTCATTAAAAAAAAAAAGAAAAAAGTGGTTTGAAGTAGGGAGAGGGAGCTGGGTAAATAGTTCAGCAATATGGTGCCTGCCTAGCAATTACAAAGTCCTGAGTTCAATTCTTGGTGCGAGAATGAATGAATGAATGAATGAATGAATGAATGAATGAATGAATGAATTGGAAGGAAGATGAAACAATATCCTAAGTGGAAAATCACCTTCATTTCCATTATGTTAATCTCAGTGCATCTGTGCAAGACCATTCTCATGCGCAGACTTTGGAGCATTGCATGTTCAGCATTGTTAGTCTGCTCTAATAAATGTGAAGATTTTCTTCATTATTTCTCTCTTGTGTAGTTGTTTTTATCCAGTTGCAGTTTCCTTTGCCATAGCAGGGTTGTAACTAACTCCTGAAATGAGCAGAGTTGTCCTTGAAGGGGCTGGAGCTGGAGCACAGAGGTGGAGCATGTGCTCATCATGATGAGGCTCCAGCCCTGGGTGCCCTTCCCGGCATCAGCAGAAAGACCATGGTTGCATCAGGCTTTACCTGCCGTCTTTTTGCTGCAATCTGCTATATAGTCCTCTCCCATTTGAAGCATTGTGTTGTGTTTTGAAGCTGTGGTTGAACAGTGGTCCCACAAGTGGCAAAGTAAAGCATTCTGTGATCATAGTCCAGGATGAAGCAATATTCTCAGTGGAAAATCACCATTTCCATTGTGTTAGTCTCAATATATCTGGATTTGGAATTCCCAGTAAGGGCCAGAATACTTCGCGTTCCCAGTGTTACTCTTCAGCCTTGACAGAAATAGGTAAAATGGGTAAAGACATGAAACCCTAGGTAGGATTTCTGGGGCTTTGAATAAAGAAAGTTTCACTTCCACCAGTACTGTATTTCCATTTGTTTCCTTTAATGTCCTGGAGGTTTTTATATTCTAGAACAAGGCATAATGGTGAAATTCTGAGTGGGTAAAAATTGGGATTTGTTTGAACACAAGAGGACTAATGTAAAAAGAAAAGATAGGAAAGGAGAAACCAGCAAAGTGGTCTAGGTGTAGGAGCATTCCCACATCAGCTCTGGGAAAAAGCACCTGTGAAAACTGAGGCTGCAGTCATGAAAATCATCTGTTCATGTACCCTGAGAAAGTCTTAACTCGTGGAGCAGTGGCAGCAAACATATGGCAAGCATGCCACAGTGGGCTCTTTGTATCATTCAGAGCTCTAACAGGTTTGCTATCCACTGCCTTAAACAAATGCATACCCCAGTTTGAGAACACTGGCCTAAAAGATGCTAAAATGTGGTTCAGAGCTCAGAAGATGTCTAGGCGGAGGACAGCAATTGGGTTCGTGGATGTGGTATGTGGGAGCGGTTTAAATGAGTGGGAGTGCTGAAGGAGTCAGTGGAGGAAAAGAGGGCAAAGCTAGGCATTTGGGCATGATTCATATGTAAGGAGTAAACTCAGGAAGAAGAGGTAGAGAGGTCAGGGGAAACCCTCATGGCAGTGTCAAGTGTGAGAGGCAGCAGTGAACTGGGACAGAATGAGACCTGAAAGACAACTGCTATAATGCCATACAGTGGGAAGACTTTCTGCCAGTTGCATGGCCTACCCTAGGGTGGATTTAGATCGAGAGACATAGTTCTGGAGGCTGGGGAGATGACAGACAACAGATCCCATCCCTGTTGAGCTCCCTCTTGCTGTTTTATAGGTAGGGGTGGGGAGGTAGCCAGCAAGATTGCTGCTTTTATAAAGGCACTAATCTCTTTCACAACTCCACCTTTAAGACCTAATCACCTCCCAGAGACCCCGCCTCCTAATGCCATAGCAGTGAGGGCTAGGACTTAGGAGACACATCTGGTCCTTGACAGTGACTGCAGCTGTGCATTCTCATAATAACTGCATTTTGTGTTTGGGACTTCTTTTAGGTTTAGCATGAGCTTTAACAGACATAATCTGAAATACTATGTATTACCGAAAAAGCCTAAAAAGGTGGCATTTGATTGCTTAGAGTGGATCAGAAAGCATCACTCATGTGAGTATAACCATGTGATGAATTATATCTGAAAGTAATGGATAAAATGTCTTTAGCACCACAGTAGAATGTATAAAATTGCATATTAACAATTTCTTTTTGAATTATGATAGCACTAAGTTGCTATTTATAGAACAGAATATTGTAACTCTAGAAACTATAAAACCTCGTTTGGTTAGATAACAATAAGCCCTAACAAAAAATATATTAAATACTCCCTCCTACACATCCATATTATAATTCCTGGTTTCAGTGTCTTCCTCTGGTTTTTATCAGTGCATGAATAATTCAGCCCTTTGTTTTAGTAGTTCTCCCAAGTGTGTTTGCCTTTGACTCACATTAGCTAACGTGAGATGCTGAATTTCATAGCAGTTTTCATGTAGCTTCTTTTCTACATCTTGAGCATTTTCCCATGTTTTTTATAGATTGAGAAAACACCTTTAATGGTTACAGTATATTTTATTCACCATTTTCTATCTTGATTATTCTATAATATATCCATTAAAATCTTTCTAATGTTTAAAATTACAAAGCAAACTTTTGGCAGAAGTCCTTATACCACTATTTCCTACGTTAGTTTTTTTAGGAGGAAACTGAGTCAAAAGATACTTCTAAAGTTCTTCACAAGTATTGCTGATGATCTCTACAGAGTTTGAATAAGGATGATTTCCTATCTGAGAGCCAATGTGGAATAGAGCCTAGCATCTATCTCTGTCCAGGACTATTTCAAGAATCATTCACTGAGACTTGATTAAAAGTCAGATCTCATTTCCAGTGCGTGAATTCTTTGCTGGAATTATTCTGTGTGATGGTACTGTTAAGAGCACGATGAAGGGCTGGGGATATAGCTCAGTAGTCCAAGCGCCTGCCTGGCAAGTACAAGGGCCTGAATTTGATCCCCAGTAACGCATGCTATGCCATCCTGGAAACCAGGCATGGTAGTGTGTGCCTGTAATCCCAGCTCTGGGGAAGCTGAGACAGGAGAATCACTGAGTCTGAACTGCATATTGAGACCCTATATCAAATAAATTAAATAAGGAGAGTACTATAGAAATCTGTTTGTGGGGCTGGTGAGATGGCTCAGTGGTCTAAAGCACCTACTTAGAACAAGCTTGGCCAAAGCAGAGGGACCACGGTTCGATCCCCCAGCACCACATGCCAGCCAGCCCCGCCCCCTGAGCTGGCCACACACACACACACACACACACACACACACACACAAATAAATAAATGTTTAAAAATAAATAAATAAATAAAAAATGTACCAATGATTTAAAAAAAAAAAAGAAATCTGTTTGTGTTTATATATTTCAAAGAATATTTATATGAAGCTGGGCATTGTGGTACACGCCTCTAAACCTAGCACACAGGAAGCTGAGGCAGGAGGATCATGATGAGTTCAAAGCCAGCTTGAACTGCTTGCAGAAACCCTGGGCTCAACCCCCTTCCGACACCCAAAGAACATAATATAAACTGTATTATTTATGTGCAAAGTCCTTGTTTCTCAGCACTGTTTTGGTCTCTCAAAAGATGACTCTGGCATCATTTACTGCCTGTCCAGGCGGGAGTGTGACGTGATGGCAGACACACTGCAGAAGGACGGGCTCTCAGCTCTGGCTTATCACGCTGGCCTTAGTGATGCTGCCAGAGATGAGGTGCAGCACAAGTGGATCAACCAGGATGGCTGCCAGGTACCACAATTTTACCTTAAATGCAACAGACATCAAAATAAGTCTGAAATTGTATCATTAATGTAGTAAATAACTTGGGACTGTTATGGGACATGAAAGAGGCAAAAACTAACCCGAGGGTGGGGTGAAATGTTGTTTCCTGCTATAGAAGTACGGGTTTTGCTAAGAGTAGTAAGTGTGCCCAAGGCAGACAGCAGAGAAAACTGTGGTAATAGTTATATGTAGTCTGAAGAGATCAGTGGCGTGTGTGGGACAGAAAGAGGAGGCCTTGTACAGAGGCGGGGAGGCCGACAGGGCTGGACAGCCTCGCACCCACTCACTGCTGCTTACAGTAAAGTCAACAGCCTTTTCAGATTCGCACTGATCTGTATGCACTGAAGTAACAGGCTCCCATCTTCCTGAATGAATTCATATATTTAACCAAAATTACAATGGACTTTCTTTTGATAAACTTTTTCAAAAGTTTGCCTAGAAGAATGTTCAAGTAAAAATCACCCAAGAATTTGGCTAAATAAATAATAATAATAGTGCATGAATATGGGTTTGCAGTGTATTACATACAGATCAGTGGAATGGAAATTCAAATATAGATTGGAGGGCTGGGGAGATGGCTCAGTAGGACAAGCGCTTGACTGGCAAACGCAAGGATCTGAGTTCAATCCCCGATAAAAAAAAAAAAAAAAGATTGGAAAGCTTATAAAAGCAATGATATAGAAGTCTTAAGAAGGAGAAATTATTCAACTAGTGGCACAGGTTTCCTGGTGAGGGAAACCATTTTAGATTTTCCTATCAAAATAAACTACGGATAAATAAATGTATTGTTATTTTACAATGAACTCTGAGTAGAGAAGAGCCTAAGCTTAAAATTACTTCCAGGAGGAAGTAATTGCTGCAGATTATTTAATGCTAAGTACTTTTATGTCAGTAAATATAATTAAGAGGCCAATTACAAACTGGGAATCTGTTTTCAACATTTAAAACATAAGCATTTGTAAAATTTTTGTTGTTGCACTGGGGATTGAACACAGGATCTTTGTGGTGACCTGCATTCCTACTGCTTGTTTTAGAGACAGGGTTCACTAAGTTGCCCAGATTGGATTTGAACTTTGAATCTTCGCGCCTTGACTTCCCAGAGTGCTAGGATTATAGAGGTATACTGCCACTTCCTGCTAACGTTGTAAAATTTTGATAAGAAAAACCATTTCAAATAGTAAATGAGCCTAAGGTATAAACAAATTACTCAAAAGTAAACAGTGCTTCTACAAGGGCCGGTAACAGCTCAGCGGCCTAAGCGCCTGCTTTGGCAAGCTCAGGGACCAGGGTTCTATCCCTGATTCCACATGCTGTGCCAGCCCCACCCCTGGGGCACACACAGTGAGCCAGCGACCAAGTCTGGGCATGGTGGTTCATGACTGTAATCCCAGCGCTGAGGAGGCTGAAAACAGGATCACTATGAGTCTGAGCTGCATAGTGAGACCTTGTAGCAAATACATAAATGAAAAGAAAGAAGAGAAAGGAAGAGACAGGCAGGCAGACAGGCCAACTTCTACAAAAGCCTAAGTACAAATGTGTTTTAGAAGCTCAACTTCACAAGCCAGGTGTGATGGCACATGTCTATACCCCAGCAGTCCAGAGACTGAAGCAGGAAGATCACTGCAAAGTGAAGGCAAGTTCAAAGTCAGCCTGAAACTATGTAGTGAGACCCTGCCTGTCCTAAGAGAAAAAAAATCACTTTGTTCATTATTAAAATTAAAATTTAAAACAGCATAAGCTGGACATGGTACAAATGCCTGTAATCCCCGGACTTAGGAGACTAAAACAAGCAGATTGTCTTTGAGACTGAGGCTATCTGGCTACATAGTGAGTTCAAGAGCAGCCTGAACCACATAGCAATACCCTGTCTCAAAAATAATAATAAAGGGGCTGGTGAGATGGCTCAGTGGTCTAAAGCACCTACTTAGAACAAGCTTAGCAAAACA